GTTTCGATGCGCAAAGTAAATGATACGGGAGGGAAGTGAAATGGAAAAGAAAGAAAGAAAGAAAGAAAGAAAGAAAGAAAGAAAATGAAAGAAAGATAGATAAATGATAGATAGATAGATCTGTAGGGGCTGACAGAAAGAAAGAAAGAAAGAAAGAAAGAAAGAAAGAAAGAAAGAAAGAAAGAAAGAAATAGATAGATAGATCTGAAAAAATAGCAAAAAAATGGGCTGAAAAAGAAAAAAAAGAAAGAAAGAAATAACGATAGATAGATAGATAGATAGATAGATAGATAGATAGATAGATAGATTGATAGATAGATCTGAACTGAAAGAAAGAAAGATAGATAGATAGATAGATAGATAGATAGATAGATAGATAGATAGATAGATAGAATTCCCTCGACAGTGGGAGAGATAAACTCCCTGGGATATAAATTCCCAGACCATATATATGGACATTAAATTCCTTTCTAAGGAGATGAAAATAGTCAGGAATTGTGAAATCAGAGGAAGGGATTGAAGAGTTAAGATTCCTTTCACAGACAGCTATGGTGTCCAGATTCTTTTCGAGGATGAACGAGATTCCACACTGCAGAAAGAAAGAAAGATTAAGGGGTATTATTTGTTGAGTTGGTTCAGTTTTATATCTTTGATTGTTTATACTCATACTATATTGGTAAGGAAGGGCCTAGGGTAGTAGCAGCTGTCAGTCATCTAATGTAACATGCGAACGAAGGGAACTGGCGCGGACTGCAACATAATGTGGTCTCGAGGTTACTCACTGGAGGTGTATAATGCGACTGTTGATCAGAGCAGCCTCTCAAGATGCTATACAAGAGTTCTGTTTCCTAACTAACAGTAGGCAACAGCAACCAGTAAACTGCTAGCCAGGGGCCCTCATTATGAAGAGACGTTGCTACCATCCACAGATAACACAAAAAATCATGATAGCAGGCCTGAAAAAAACAGGAACCACTTCCTAAACATGAAAGAAGAGATGGGCTTCTAAATAAGGAGACCGTCTAGAAGAGTTGCAGGAGATTCCTAAATCGCCTGGAGGCCATAGTTGAAGCCAATGGTTATTTTATTGACTAAATTTACTCTGTAGTATTTCAAGATATTTTTGTGTAATTTTGGTAAATGTATCTGTTAAAATGAAATGCCGTGAATGTTGGAGAAAGAAAGATTGGGGGTGTTTAGGTGTTTTTTGTTGAACTGGTTTATTTTTATAGCTTTGATTGCTTATAGTGCATCTCTCCCAAAATCAAATTATTTAAATTAAGCAATTAATTAATTAAGTAAATTAGTAAAATGGAAATAACAATAAAAACTGAAAAACAATTGCCGGTACGTAGCCAAGAGCATCATGCTAACTAAAGCGGCAACACCCTGTTCTTGTTAATGACTGAGAAAACTTTCTAAAAACAAAGAAAGAAACCAAAAATCAGAACAAAATATGAACTTTGGACAGTTTGTCCATAATCGTCACTTGAATGGAAAGTATATTAAAAGAAAGAAACAAAGAAGACACACACACCGACTTTGTTGGTTGAATTTAAAAGAACTTGTTTAGATGAATTCTCATTGCCTAAATACATCTCTTTGTTACTTTGATAGTTTATTTCTCTCTCTCTATCTATCTATCTATCTAGCTAGCTTTCACAATCTGTTCATAGCTATCTATCTATCTATCTATCTATCTATCTATTTATCTATCTATCACAGTCTGTTCATATCTATCTATCTATCTATCTATCTATCTATCTATCTATCTATCTCAGACTGTTCACATCTATCTATCTATGTATATTGGTCTGTACTCATCTATCTAACTATTTATCTATATATCTTGGTCTCTTCACATCTATCTATCTATCTATCTATCTATCGATCGATCGATCGATCGATCGAACTCCCCTGATCTCTTCATATCTATCTATCTATATCTATCTATCTATCTATCTATCGATCGATCGATCATCTCCTGGTCTCTTCATATCTATCTATCTATCTATCTATCTATCTATCTATCTATCTATCTATTGCTTTATTTTATTTTTTTTACAGATATATTTATTTTTTCCATATCTAAATGTACTGTCCACTAATTTGTTTTTAAATAAACTGACGTCATAATGGTTAGTATTAATTTGTGCCTTACGATTCCTACGCGCATGGATCTTAGAGATTCATCGAACGGCGAAGAGTACATGCATATTTATTTTTAGTACACACACACACACACTTACAGGCATATATATATATATATATATATATATATATATATATATATATATATATATATGGTGTGTGATAGAGAGAAATCTGTTTTACGATCAATAATTTCTTTGTTTTCATTTCCCTGTTTTTCTTCACCTCAATTTTGCGTCTTTCTTCCTTGTTTGTTTTCTTCGCCAAGCAAGCCGTGCCACGTGTCATATCTATCCTCCCCCACCTCCAAGCGCCTCCTCTGCCCCGCCACTTCGTCCGTCGCCTCTGAAACGTAAACAATTCTTCCTTCCCTACTTTTGATTCGAGTTTTACCTTTTTCTATTTTTTTTTTTTACCTTGTTCCCTACTTTTGAGGTCATCCAAATCCCGTGGTATGCCTTCCTGGTCGTAAACAACCATCTGCATTTTTATCTTCTTACAGTATTTTTCATTTCCGGAACCATTTACCAACCACCCCAATAACCTTTCTCTTTTTTTTTTAAATTTTCCAAACGACGTTCGGCATGACTCACTTACATTTACGTTTGCTTTAGTTTGTCGTAAGTACACATATATATATATATATATATATATATATATATATATATATATATAATATGTATCAACAATACATATATATATATATATATATATATATATATATATATATATATATATATATATACTATATTTGGACAATAATCATTATTTTATACATGTTTCAATAAAGGGGATATGTTTTCAAAAAAAGAAAAAATCAAAGGACATAAAGATCAATAAAAACTGATATATATATATATATATATATATATATTTATCCATAAATATCCCACACACATATATATATATATATATATATATATATATAAATACATACAATAGGAATTTAAAATTACCTCATAGCTTTATGATCATTTCACCTTACAAGTTAAGATTTTCAAACCGATATATATATATATATATATATATATATATATATATATATATATATATATATATATATAATATTCTTACTCTCTCCTGGGCATTGAGTTCTACCTGGATTCTATCCTCTTGGGAAGATATATATATATATATATATATATATATATATATATATATATATATATGTGTGTGTGTGTGTGTGTGTGTGTGTGTGTGTGTGTGTGTGTGTGTGTATTGACCACTAATATTATATATATATATATATACATATATATATATATATATATATATAAAAGAGATAGATACATATCATATTCAATAATTACATTTTTTTTTCCATTTTTGCTCGGAGGCTGATTTATTTAAAATTCTGCTATCCAGTTTTTTTTCACCTATCCAGATTAAATAGATTTACTTTTTACGTTCGTAAACAGTGACTATTACGGCTAATAATGCAAGACTTTTCGGTAAATCGAATCGAGTTCTCTCAGTCACAGTGTGTTTATCTAAAAATAAATACGCTTAAATTCACGTTCGTTGCTGCCGTACGCCAACGACTTAGTGGTAGAATCCCTTACTGACGCCAATTCAGTCGGGTTTCGATTCTAAGTAGACGTCTAGCCACACTGATGAGCTGTGATCCAGAGAAACAGTCTGTTTGTGGGTGACAATATATATATAAGTTCTTCCTCGTTAACTTCATTCCATTCTACGCCGGGATTGGAAAGACAGGCGACCACTTTCATTGTCTACCGAAATAGTTTATTCTTCATTTTAAGTAAAAGTATTTGTTTGATTATATTGCTCTGTATAAATAAAATACATCGATATCTTTTTTGTGGATCAGTTTTAATATTTTCTTATTACTAGGATCCACTTGGATTATATACCAACAGACTTTTTACCTTACTATATATCTGTATCTATCTCTCTCTCTCTCTCTATATATATATATATATATATATATATATATATATATATATATATATATATATATATACATGTAGCATGAAACAGATTCGGCGCTTGGTCTTAAATTCAGTTTTCGTATTTATATATATAAATCTCCTAAGTACTAATATATTCCCCACTGATACCGTTAAAAATATAAAACTAATTATATATTCGACTAAAATTAACAAAACCAACTTAATCCTGCGCAATAACTCTTCTTCGTCAAGTAGAGTTTTGATAAAAAAAAAAATTGTATGTCAGTTTAAATGTCCTTTTGGAATTGGTATATTTAACAAAAAGTATGTACATATCCACTAAAAGAACGTAATATATATATATATATATATATATATATATATATATATATATATATATATATATAGTACTGGTGTTCATAAAACAGTACTCGATGTAATATAACAGAGCTATTAAGTATATATTAATAAATATATCCGTCAGCGATAGCACAACACGGAGTTTCATGCACAATGCAGTCTCCGGGTGCAGAGTATAGACAACGTTATGTAATTTAAATTTGTATAAAAATATCTGGTTCCTAGCAATGTTGGCGCAATTATATAGTATATTGGGATTACAGTTTTTAAATTTTAAAGAATATTTGGTATTTAAAATGAACGGGAATCATATACATATGCGAATATTAATTTTTTATGTTAAGAATAAAAGGAGATTACTTGTTCTTCAAAAAAAAAAACATAATTTACATTAAAACTTTATCTGGATCAATGCATTTGAGCAGATATTTATTTTTATGCCTACATGTAACTATCAATTCATTTCTTTTGTTTAACAAACTAGAGTTACTTAAGTGTTTTAAGATAATTATTTTTTCAACAAGACATAAATTACATCTACTACATTTCCCATTTCCTTAGACTGAAATATATAGAACATATATTTACATATTTCTGAATCAAGAAAATGCTTAAATACTCAAATATATATAGAACCGGTAATTACATATTCCTGAACCAAGAACATGCTTACAGGCTTAGATATATAGAACCGATATCTAACTTTTCCCGAACCAAGAAAATGCTTACTCAGTCAAATATATACAAAATAGATTTACATATTCCAGAACGAAGAAAATGCTTAAAGACTCAACTTAAACCGATATTTAAATATTCGCGTACCGTGAAATTACTTGCAGACTCAAATATATGGAAACGATATTTAAATTTTCCTGAACCAAGAAAATGCTTAAAGACTCAACTTGAACCTTTATTTACATATTCCTGAACTAAGTAAATGCTTAAGGAGTCAACTTGGACCGATATTTACATATTCCTGAACCAAGAAAATGCTTAAAGACTCACATATATAGAACCGATGCTTACATATTCCTGAACCAAGAAAATGCTTAAAGACTCACATATACAGAACTGATATTTACATATTCTTGAACTAAGAATATCTTTACAGGCTAAAATATATAGAACCGATATTTACATATTCCTGAAGCAAGAAAATGTTTAAAGACTCACATATGTAGAACCGGTATTTACATATTCCTGAACCAAGAAAATGCTTAAAGACTCACATATATAGAACCGGTATTTACATATTCCTGAACCAAGAAAATGCTTAAAGACTCAAATATATAGAACCGATATTTACATTTTCCTGAACCAAAGACTCAAATAAAAAACCGATGTTTACAATTCCTAGAACCAAGAAAATCAAATATATTATAGAACCGATGTTTCCAAGAAAATGAACTCAATATTCTCACATGAACCTGTTTAGGAAATGCTTAATATAGAACCAATCAACATATAAAAGATCAGGACCGATGTTTGCATATTCCTATATTGAACCAAGAAAAACCAAGAAAATTAAAGACCCAAATATATAGAACCGATGTTTATATTCCTGAACCTAGGAAATGTATATTGTTTAAATATTCCTGAACCAAGAAAATGCTTAAAGACTCACATATATAGAACCGAACCAAGAAAATGCTTATATAGAACCGATGTTTACATATTCCTGAACCAAGAAAATGCTTAAAGACTCACATATATAGAACCGATGTTTACATATTCCTGAACCAAGAAAATGCTTAAAGACTCACATATATAGAACCGATGTTTACATATTCCTGAACCAAGAAAATGCTTAAAGACTCAACTAACCGTTATTTACATTCCTGAACTATGAAATGCTAACAGACTCAAATATATTGACTCAAGTTTATATGGAACCGATATTTAAATATTCCTGAACCAAGGAAATGCTTAAAGACTCAACTTGAACCGTTATTTACATATTCCTGAACCAAGAAAATGCTAACAGACTCAAATATATAGAACCGGTATTTACCTATTCTGAACGAAGAAAATATCCATAGACGCATATATAAAAATTTACAATCATTTCGAAATGAGATATCCCATCAATTTTTCAACTTGTTATTTACTTAAAAAATGCTAACACTCAAATCCACCCAGTCCAAACGCCATACTCATCTGTCATTTCAAATGAGATATCCGGAATTCTTAAAATTCTAGCTAAACACACTCCATCTTCTTTGCTTCACACAACACGCATACATATACAGCACATACCTCTACTCGGACACTTCCCCCTTGGTGTAATGGTTAACAATCTTCTCCTGTTATATCAATTACGACTGAAAACTGAGTTCAATCTTTACTGGGTGCCCCCAAACTTTCGGCCTTGTGTCACATCTGAGCTACGCTTAGAAAGTCACCGTACATACATACACAGGTATGTACGTATACACATGCGCGAACACACACACACAGACATCAATATGAATATGTATTTTGAAGAACATATTTTCGTAGGTTTTATTAATAAACCCAGTCTATGTATTCGTTTTCATTCATAGAAGCGGAGATATTTTCGTTTGAAATCAGGGCTGTACGGTGTCGTATGCCCGCTAGCCGTCTCGTTCCTACAATCTGAGATACGCACCCACCCCTTCAATGTTGCGCATGCGTAGACAGCTTGTTTTCTACATCATGGCAAGAATCCAATCATTTACATCCATGGATACGCGCACATTCATGTTCGTCTCCCCAATTTCCTGAATTCAAAATCCCGCTCATGTTCGTGCCGAGGCTCAGCGGGCATTCGAAAAAAAAAAAATAAATAAATAAATAAAATAAAAAGCTTTCTTCTGTATCTTACAGACGTCTTTGATAAACGCTTACCCCGACCCGTTCTGCTGCCTTCTCTCACCATCAGCACGACCGCCACGCATCGTTTTTTCCCGTTCACTATTAGACTCCATTCAGTCCAAGCATTCGACAAACACACGAACACAGTGTAACGTGCGAAGCCATCGCCCGTTTTCGTCGCCCTTTGAACACAGGTGGTTATTTCTTGGTCGTAAACAAGAAATAGTTCGGATTATTCGCT